TTGGTATCTTGTAGTAAAATAGACACTGGGATTTGCATTTATATTAGTCATCCTAGTCTAGACATTTCTACTAGCAATAAATTATTCATGACGCTCTTTACTGTCTTATTTATTCACCTCTGCAAGTGGGAAAATTTGACACATTAGTTTAGCGTGTTCCACCTACAAGCTTACATGGAGGTGAAGGTTAAAAAAGACAGAACCATTTCCCTTGATATTTCGTTTTAGGAAAATTTTAAACCTCAAGAATTGACCCTGACCCTTTAAATGATATGGAAGTAGTGCTATTTACGGGAAACGGCTTTCTGAAACAGAGCATAATAATAAGTTTGCATAAGAAAGGCAAGCTTTATCGAAATGCTGGAACGAGGAAAGAAGTCTTAGAGAATTTAACGTTCACATGACCTATTAACGATGAGAAGATGGAATAACAAAACACGCGGTTGCAGATAAATAGTGTATTGAACAGTCAATACAACAGAAGTGTGTTACATGACTTGGGAGTGTGTGTCGGTTGACCAGCGTTCAGTTTTTATGACTTATATTTAGCAACCACCCCACGAGGGTACATGTGGCACAAGGTCGAGCTTAACGTGGGTCATCCGAGCCCGTAGGCTAGGCCCCCAAATCCCCGTAGAACCAGCATAAACGAGTTCGGTTTCTGTCTACCTCCCCGGACGTGACTCTACCCTTCGGCACAGCCTCGTCCGAGTCCCTCTATGCCAAAAGAAGAGAGTTCGACAGGAGCTGCGAACAGTAACATCTTCGGTAGAACAGTTCCCCCGAGGCTTACTTTCCTACTACTATATAGTAAGTGGAAGAGTCCACAATAGCCTCATTTGAGGGAGAACGCTACAACAGAAGGGAAGAGGAAAAAAAACGTGTAGCTACCTAAAGAGATTTTCTAAATTGAGTGCAGAACAAGTACTAGGAGGTGATGACAAAGTGGCTGTATATTGCCTAGAGTTTGTTTTTTTTTACTTACGGTGTGGTTCACCCTGTACAAGGCTCTGATATCACTCGAGGTAGAGAATTACAGAGTGAAAGGCACACTTTATGCGGGTATTTATGAAAGATAGTTAAACATAGACTTGAAGAGGATAATATTATAGTGAACGAGGAAGCAGCCTCTTGGCAGTCGGTTCCATAAGTCAGTGGATTGTCGGAAGAAGCTGCGTGAGTGCAACTTACATCTCGCCAGGGAGATATGGAGGGAATGAGGGTGGTGACATAACGGGTGTTCGCCGTGTGAAGTTTAGGACTGGGGGAAAATTAAGGTGTGTAAACACTCTTCATAAAAAATAGCCAAAGAGCAGTGAGAAGCTTGCCTCTATGAAAAAGGAGTTACAAATAATTCACCACCTACAATGACGCAGAAGCGCTTTTGGAGCGGAAAGTGAAGACTGAGCAGGTCTTGCCCGTATATATGGCAGCAGTACTCCATTTTCTGCTTGATCTGGTTTTTGTAAAGGTAGAAGATAACAGGAGGAGTGAGGTACTTGTTGGATCGGTAGATGGAAAAGGTAGACGCATTCCATTTAAAAACACGACAGTATTAATGCTATGACAATGCTCCACATTATGATACTATGCTGTACGGGTAGTTCTACACTAGGTCCCACACCAGTGTTTTCTGGTAAGATGGGTGGCTACACACCTTTTAGGATTGAAAGTATGAGGAGTCAAAAGGGCAAATGCACCATATTGTAGAGTCAGTGGCCATGTAAAACAATGGGGCAGAGTGGGCTATATAGCAATGTATGCAAGTAGTTCGGAGATGACACAGCATCGCAGGGTGGAGGGTTTCCCAAGAAGATCCCCACCCTAGTGGAATCAATAGTCAAAGCGAGCATTGAAGTTTAAAGATATCGGCAGTAGTTTGACTTGGAGAGGGAGAGGCTTCGCTAGGGTTACTTGCCAAACAAACGCTGCGCTTTCAATCCAGATATACAGCGGAAACTGACCAGGTGCTTGATTGCGCTCGATTGCGCAGCGACCCTACGGTCACACCCGGTTATGCAACTGATGATGATGATTATGATGATGATGATGATGATGATGATGATGAATATGGAGACAGCGTAATACATATGCTAGATAATGAACGAATATAGAAAATAGGTACTTCATTGACGTAATGATTATGTCATCTGCCAAAAATAAACGCGTTCCTATATGCAGTGTAGTCATAGTTGTGACATTTATTAAAAATTCATTTGATGATTTTCGCTTTCGATTATGACGTTAGCATTTTTTCCATCAGCTGTACTGAGAAATTCTGTTGGCATTGATCACTGATTACAAGTTGAAAATACTTGCAGCTTCTCGTTAAAAGCAAAGGCAAGAAAAAGAAACAGTACTACGTCATCTGCGCATGCTCAGCTTACAAAAGCTAACGTTTTGTTCACTTCCGGTTAACTCGCTGAACGACACTTTCAAGCATGAAAATCTCGACTCATTTGATTAGTAGTGACATTTTAGAATTTAATTATTTGTTTAAACATCATGTTTTTTTTTATATTAGTCAAAATACAAACATCTGTAGTAAAAAAGCAAATACTCCATTATAATTAAGTGTATAAATAGATATTAAATGGAAGGTGAGTTGTAACATTATCTATATGCGAATGTCAACTGTAACATTCATAGGCTAACCAAGATACACTAATAGAATATGACTAAATGAGGTTTCTTTTTCAACATATTCCCCCTCGTGTCCCCGGTGCTTGAATCTAATTGGTGAAGAAACTTTCATCCTGTTGGTCAAATAAGTCATCAGCAGCAGATGTCTTCGATACCCGTTCTCAGCCAAGTGTTTTTTGTACGTTCGGGAACAGATGATAGTAAGATGGGAACAATTCAGGAAAATAGGGAGGGTGATCAACCAATTCAAAGTCACAATCACGCGCAGCATCTATTGAAACCAGGGACATCTGTACTGGAACATTATCTTGATGAAGCAAGACCCATTTCGTCAGTTCTCCTGGGCGATTTGTCTTGATAGCCTGTCGTAATTGCCTCAAAGGTTTTACCCAGTACTTTCCATTGATGGTGTGGCCTTTTTGAACATAGTCAGTAAACATAATGCCTTTTGAATCTAAAAAAATTCTTTCCTTACCTGCAGATGAAACGACCTTTGCTTTCTTTGGGTCAGGTGACGATGGGTGTTCCCATTGCATGGATTATCTGTTTTCTATGACCCAAAGTGATGAACCCAACGTTCAAGGAAACCAGCTGAATTTGTCTCAATGTTATAGTTTCCCGTGACGATCAGATGTAGGAAGATGTGGCACCCACCGAGCAGAAACCTTCGACATGCCAAGTTCATTGTACAGTGTTATTTAGGAATAATGTGTCTCTGTCGACATTTGAGTTTGAACATAGCTACCAGGTGATTCCTTTATTGAATTCAGTAGACCACGTGACTATAGAGGAAACGCATATGTAGGAAGTCTCCATTTTAATCTATCGTCAATTACTATTCGTATCGCTATATTCTAGTCTACCCTCTATACTATTCGGATCATCAGTTCTACTGTATCGTCTAATACTATACGGACCGCTATTCTTTACTCTGTTCGCTATACGGATTACGTTTCGAGCGAGTATTATCGAGCAAGTACTATTAGTGCGAGTGTTATTCGAAGGCGTCTGACACCAGCATTGTTCAACGGCGTTAATATAGTTGTATCTGCGATTACAAAGGCTCTACTACAACGAGCATTACGAAACTGACAACGAGTATTCGTTGACATCACAAAAGTGGCAACGAGTGTTCTTTGACATCACACACTACAGGATACTCTCAAGTCTTTCACAGGATATGCTAAGAGCATTGGCTACATGGTTTAGAGTTAATCGCCTTTCATCCCTCACCATGTGGTGAACACGATCAATGGTTTTGTCGGTAGTGACATTTGCAGGACGTCCAGACCCTGCTCTATTTCCAAGTCTCTCCCCTTTCCCTTCTAAATTCAACTGGACACTATTGAAACCATGTCAACATGAATTCCCTTAGGGGCTAAATCATTTTTTTGCAGATACTTTATAACACCACGATGCCAAATATTCATGCGAAGTCGCTACTAGTCAGCTGTCTGTTTATTAATAAGCAGAGTTAAAATTAATGCGTGGAATATTTCACAGTTGTAGCATCATCCATCAAACTCAGCCTATAGTTCTTTCCAACCCACCCTCGTAAAATTAAGAAAAATAATCCCTTGAATTTTTCAATCATAAGTTTGCTTATTACAGAAAACGTGACACCAATATCAGAAGGTTCATTTAGAAGAACTAAAAATGCCTTTCCAATGCCAAGAAACGTATCAACAATCAGGAAAAATTTGTTAGAAACAAAGAAAATGTAATATTCGTCCTTCTATATAGCAATGAATGTTGGACGACCCTCTCACAGATGACTCTTGTGTATGTGGTTCTACAGAAGGATGCTGAGAATATAATGGACTGAACAGGTAAACAACGAACCATCTTTAGGAAAAATGAAAAAAAAGGACACTTAAGTATAAGAAACATCAGAAATTTCGAGGGCAGATATTTAGGTAAACAGGGATTAGAAAGAGAAAGATTTTATAACTTTCAACCCACTGTGGCAGCAGTTGCTCGGTCAGTGAATGCCAAATGTTTCCTTATAAGGAAACGGCGCTCCTATTACAATATGATTAACAACGAAAAGGTAGTACAATGTTTAGTGAGCTAGGCTTGTAGATTATATGCAGCGAGTTCTATCTTCAGCAATTATGCTATGCTTCTTTCTTTCTACTAAATCTCGTTTTCTACAACTTATCACCCCCCACTGTAGGTCATTTAAAGCCAGAAAATATATATTTAGATCGAGAGAAATAGATTGTAAGAGGTACATTCATAACTTTCCTAAAGGTATTTGCACATAAGGAAGTATAAAGAACCCAATGGGAATTAGAACTCGGCTCTCCGATTAACAATTCCGAAACATTATCCATTGCACCAACCGCACATCCAAGCTTACAGCAACTGCTCTTCCAAAGTGGTCACCCATCTAGGTACTAACCAGGCTCGACATTGCTTAAATTCTGTGATCATACGGGTACTGGTGTTTCAACGTTATACGGCTGTTAGCCCCGCTACCAAGACTTAGCCTAGTTCAGAAAATAGGTCTTATATTGAGGTTAACCAAATGGTCATAGATTTATCAACTTTGTAGCCTCGACGAGTGCAATGGTTATCGGCATGGTAAATGAAAACGAGGGTGCCGAATTCAATTCCCACTCGATTCTGTTTTGGCCACATCGCGCTATGCCCTTGGAAAATGAACTGATCCATCTTCCTCCAGCTGTAGATCTTGAGATGGCATCAAGTCTAGGAGAGGAAAACTCTGAATTCAAGAAAATTCATGCGCTCTTTCAGGTTTTGTTGCTCATGACACACAAATATTGCCATGGCTGCAGTACACGCCGCGATGGCCGGATAACGGGTCTTATGAAATGAAGTCTCGTTAAATAATGAATGAAATACTTTTATCAAATTATATTAAAATAGTATTAAAACGTATATTTCTTGCTTTAAACTTTTTCTCAAGGTAACCTTTATCATAATTTAAAACATAATTTCAGTAGGAAGTGAAGGTGACAATTTTCCAAGATGGAAGATACGTCTCTTTCTCTGACTCTATCTTATTTTGGTTCCCTTTCTTGCCATATGTATTTTTAATCTAAAAGAGAATTGTGAATGCGCATGTGCAGCGAGCTCTTGCGATAACGCATAAATGAAATAGTCTTTTGCTTCTGGAGCCCAAAGCGTATAAAATTAACAAAAATCACTTGGTATCATATATGCATGCATCAGCACTGCTGTATTCTATTTCAGCATTTTACTAATTAAATCTCTATCTTTCCCATATCATCTTCACTAAGCTAAGATTCACTAACAGTAACAGTTCGAATAATCATTTCCATACAGGAAATATTTTGACCTAAAAGTTATCGTTAATACTGGTTGAAATTAAATCTTTTTCATAGATCATTTTTCAGAAAATTAGGCTCCTCAAATTCACTAACTCTTATTATTTTCTCTAGTAGAGTTTGGAGTTTCCGTCCTGACCCCATTTTTTCTGGTCGTGTGGAAATGTAAGATCTAGATTTTAACATTATTTTTCCTTCATGTGCTATTTTAATTGTCTCTGCTGTTATAAGTCGTCGAGTGTTGTGATGTGACTTTTGATATTTGGTAAAGTGATTCTGTAGCGCCAGTGTATGATATCTGATGAAACATTTAAGACTGACAGGTTTCATTAGCTTGAAGCCGTTTTTAATCCCTGATCAAAGAAAACGTTTGTATACACTTGATAGTTTAGACATTTCTAAGCGCCGTGCCTGATAGCAATATGAGAATCTATTTCTGACCATGCTATTTGTTGACCATGTTTGCCGTAGTCTCTGAATATGGAATCCAGTGAAGTCCGTATTCTGTTCAATATCAGAGGTTCGCAGTGTAGAATCGGAGAAAAAACAAAATGGCTGCCTTTATACACGTCGCATTGAATATTTTGAGCTTTCTGATTGGTTAACCCTTCTATTGGTGAACTATAATATGAGTCAGCTCATTTCGACTGGCTCACTAGTACATATATGTATCCAAAAAACTGTAACACTATTTAAGAACATAACGAATATATTGGCTAATCTTTTGGCTTTGTAGCAACTTATCTGAAGTGCCATTTTTTTGGTACACTTGAGAAAAGATTGCCAATTTTATTCGAAAATCATTCATATCACAATAATGTATGCCTATGTCATCAGCATCAACTTCGTCTTCATTGCTACACTGGTGTCTGCTGGGGAAACTGGATTGTTTTGTCATAATTTCTACTATTTTCCGCCATTTTGGGGCATAACATCATTAATCCGTTCTCACCAAAACAGTCTCTCATTCTTAGTGCCTTTGGTGGCATTGGAGGTCTTTCAGGTAATTAATTTTTTTTCTATTCGAAACATTCTGCGATGATCAAAAATTAATGGTAATCTACTTTTAAGTGAGCGAAGATTTCTGAAGATTTGTTCTTCCTTACTTTATTTCTTGGAAAACTTTGCTAATTTCTTCTTCATCTAGTTATTTTTCTTCTTCTCCTCATCTTCTTACCATCCTTTTCTTCTCCTCCTACTCTTCTCCTCCTCCTCTCCTCCTCCTCTTCTCCTCCTCCTCGTCATCGTCGTCGTCCTCCTCCTCCTCTTGTTCTTGTTGTTGTTCTCCCTCTTCTTCTTCCTCTTCTTCTTGTTCTTGTTCTTCTAAGTGCCATATCTCTTCAAAAAATAAATAAATAAAAATAAATAAATAAATGACCAACGGTTATTTTTCAGAAATGTTTCTTTTATTCTTTCCAAACTTCGGCAAATTTTTTTTAATGAAATGCATTATGTGGCCTGAGGAAGTCCAGAAAAACGTGCATGAAACGTTTCTGATAGTAATAAACGAACAACATGAGATACCAATCGAAGAAGTCATGGTCTATTCTAGACGCATTGAAGAGTCCAATTGTTTTGATTCTAAATATAAAAGTTTACAATGATCGTCAAATCTAAAGTATTTCTAGCCTTAGCTAACTTAAGACAAATAAAAAAAAAATCTTGAGATTTTATATATATATGTGTGTGTGTGTGTGTGTGTGTGTGTGTGTGTGTGTGTAGGGTGTGTGTGTGTGTGTAGGGTGTGTGTGTAGTGTGTGTGTGCCGTGTGTTTGCTTGTAGCTTATTGTCTGCGATCGCGCTACCCGGAAAAAAATCAATTCGTCACAAGTCATAGGTAGAGGAATGCATCCGACAGGATTCTTACATATTCCGAGAAAAGCGAAGAGTTTGAATTGTGCGTCCATGTCGACTTTAAATTAAACAGCTGTACTGGCAAAGATAGAAAAATAAGAATATTGTTGCTTAAATAAAAACAAAGCAAAAGCAAAAAAATAAAAGTAGAAAGAGACAAAGCAAAAACACAATCAAGAATGAAACCTAAAAAATAACAGATAGTTTTCAATTGTTTTCTCGGTACAATGATGGTCGCCTGGTAAAAAACCGAACACCCTGCTCTTTCTCTCTACTCTCTCTCTCCCTCCCCCTCTCTCTCTCTCTCTCTCTCTCTCTCTCTCTATATATATATATATATATATATAAAATGAACCGTCTCTAAACTCAACCATGTCTCTTCCACCACTCCTCCCTACCCTCTCTGTTAAATTACATAAACTTTATACTACCCGTCAAAAGTATGAATTTTCATTTCATCTTTCATTTCATTTTTGGAAGTGTTATCTGATGATCCAGCGTCCCTTAAAAGGGCTCTGATGAAATAAATTATTATAATGGAACCTTAAAGTGGTCTGTTTTTCTTTAAAATATATATATATATATATATATATATATATATATACAGAGTGAGTGAGAGAGAGAGAGAGGGAGAGAGAGAGAATTATACAGGAAAAGTTAATTTTTTTTTACGTAACTTACATTCCAACTAATGTCCTCATCTTTGTTGTTATTTTCACGCAGTTTCGGCCGTTGTGCCTTCCGACTAACCCCTGAAGAAACTCTGTGATAATAGCTGTGTGACTAAATAAAATAAAATAAAAATAGTAAAAAATAACGACGGTTCTCCATGTCAGAAGTTCAGACTGTTATTTTGTTTATAGGTATATAATATTTACATTTAGTTTATATACAAAACACCGGTTCCCGTACGATCACCGAAGTTAAGCAACGTCGTGCGTTTTCATTATCTAGATCGGTAAGACCTAGATTTCACTACCTAGATTGATATTAATGGGTGCTTTGTATTTGATGATGTAATGAATAACGGCTGGGAATTGTAAATCGGAGAACTGAGTTCAAATTCCACTCGTGTTCATTATATTCACTTACGCGCAAATACCCTTTGGAAAGCTATGAATACGCATGTTCTTCCTCCCCCAGAATGGATTAAATAGTAGAACTTGTATCAGAAAAAAACATCATTGGCTAAAAACGTTTGACAATTTAAAAAATATTGTATGACTTTAAATAAACTGCAAAGGGTTGATAAGCCTTAAAACAATCAATCAACAGAGGTATTTACATAAGAGGTGCGATTAACATTTCCATGAATTTACATAGAGGTGCTACTGGAATTGACATAGGGATTTTACCTATATTAAAAAAAACAAAACAAACATAATATATAAACAATATATAAAAAAAAAGAAAGTATTTTCAAAAAAAAAAAAAAAATAAGCCGTGAAAAACAAATCCCTCAAACACTGGCAAATGATTCTGAAAAGTAAATGTTGGCTGAAGATGTGGTAGTTAATGTATTTTTATCTTTAGCCCCAAGATATGGGAGTTAACATTTTATATGTTGGCCCACGCTGTTGTAGCTAACGTTTATTTATTATTATTATTATTATTATTATTATTATTATTATTATTTTGACCCTCCACATGATTGTTAATGATTTGGCAATAGAAGTTGGACCTACCCAGCAACAACCCATAATTATTTTTGGTTTCTTTCAGAGAGGAGCTGGGCAGCATCCTGGTAAGAAGGAATGGTTTGCCATTGTATTTTTCCATGCCATAAAATTGCACCCATTATCATTCATCGACGTTTGCAAAGAGTAAAACGATGTTTGTCCACGATTGTCGACCTTTGAAAATGCAATACTAAGTTTAGTGACTAATAGTGACAAATAGTGTTTTGTAGGGGAACAATTACGGTTTGTAACGATATTATTGGGGTGTCTTAGGTATTGTAGTTCTCATATGAAATAAATATGACGTCTTACTTTCAGAGTTACCTTAAACATATATATATATATATATATATATATTTATTAAAGACATATTTTATGTTTAACGTTGTTATTTTATAGATACAAGTATTTAAGCAAATGCTCTGTTTATGATAAACAGTATTAAATCATAAACAGAGCATTTGCTTAAATACTTTTATCTATAAAATAACAACGTTAAACATAAAATATGTCTTTAATAAATAAATTGTCGGACCTTGTCCATTTCTTAATATATATATATATATATATATATATATATATATATACACATTAGATAAATTTATATATA